ATCCGTGATTGCTAATGAATTCACCACTTTCGCTGCCACCTCTTTTGGTAACTCAGTAAACATAGTGACTAGCGACTTTAAGTCTCGTGACTGCAGTGCTAGGTCATGAAAATGACGTAAGCTTTCACAAGTGACTGGATACTTTGCTTGATTTTGTTTTTATAAATGACTGTGGAATATATGAAGCTCGTAAAAGATCGCCACCGTTTAACCCCGATCGATGTGTTCTAAGGGTTTTCGCCTAAATTTATGGAAAGTTACACAAGAGAACCATTCCACACCTATCCCGAAAAATTGCACATAGACGTTACTCTAAGGAGAATGTTCAGAATCTTAGAAACATTTTCCAAGACATAAGGTGGCATTTGCTAAATGAAGACTCTCTTGATGACACTACCTCAAATATTACATTTTATCTCAAATTATGTCTTGAATCTGTTGTCCCAGAGAAACACTTCTCATCACATTTGCCCGTTTCTCCCCCCCTTCAACTTAAAAAGCTTCTCAGGGAAATGGGAAAGTTGCATGAAATGAAGGATAACATAGGTGTGAAAAGAATTGACATTCTTATCAAGTGTGAAATGCACAGATAGGATTTAATTTATGACCAAAAGTTTATATTCCGTTAAAATGCCTCTAAAATTTGGAAATGTTTCAGAGAAATTACTGGTGGTAGGCTGGCGAATAGTATTCCTTATTCCTTTGATGTGTGTACACCAAACAAATCTTTCATTCATTCTCCCACAAGTGCCAAACTTTCTTGTGCCACAAGTGTTAGTGAAACCTGCTTCCATAGTTTAAATACAAATGACATGCTAAAATGTCTTCAATCTCTGAACTCTTTTGGTAGTCTAGGGCCAGGTATTTTGCCTAGCGTTATTCTTAAAAAATGTGTATATATCCTGTGCTATCCTCACATGGACATACTTAATGAATCTTTTTCCAGAAATGTCGTGCCAGACGTTTGGAAAGACATCGAAATTGTACGCATACTTAAATCAGCTACTGGAATATGTGTCGAATTTAGACGAATTGTTATAACCTCTCTTTTTAAACTATGAGAAAGTTGCTCATGCTTGATCTTAAACTTTCACTTAAAGCCTTTAATAATTCAAAACACTTCGCCTACAAACATAGTAGAAGTACTTTGGATGTAGCTGCAGTCTTACATCACATCATTGTCTCCAGTTTAGACAAGGGGACTAAATTTGTTCGCTGCACCTTCCTAGATTACACATCTTTCGACTCAGTACTCAGGAATGTTTTGTTAAATAAGCTTGCTGAAACTCAGAGTGAGTGTTGGATTGTCAAATGGCTACATTCGCATCTCTCAAGAAGAAAGCGGGACACTGTATGTTAGGGGAAGCCCTCCACTTCATTGCCCACTGAGGCTCGCGTCCCTCGAGGCACTGTCCTTTCTCCTTTTCTGTTTTCTTTCTTCTTGCATGACTTGCCTCACTCCGATGAAATGAACTTTGTTAAGTATGCTGACGATCTAACTTTGAATTCTTGTTAACTTTCGGCTAGGGTGTACCAAGATGTACAGCTGTCTATCAGGAGTTAGCAAGTAGTCTTCGTCTAATGGACTTGAACTAAATCCTTTCAAATTTCAGACTGTTAATCTGAGTTTACGATGTAAATGAAAGTTAAATTGTAACAACAGAAGACAAGTGCCAGGCAACAGTACGTTTATTACGGAAAATCAACACGTATTTATAGATTTTGATGTACATTATTGTAGGTTAATGTTAGTAGAAAATACGGTCTGTTGATTGGTTGTTTCTCACACAAAGTTAACCTTGAATCTCTTGTGGCTGTGTCAGTTCTGTATCCGCCTGTCCATCTTGACCTTGACCTCAATTACTGTTAACCAATTTGGCTAGCAAACATCTCTCACCACAACATGACTAATATTTGATACATAAACATTGACCTCAATTATTGTCAACCAGTTGGCTAGTAGACAGCTCTCACCACAAAATGAAGCTGTTAATTCCTATGACGGTTGTGCAATTGGTTATAGTGGTGTAGAAATCAAGTCTGATATTATAAACCTTGAACTTACTATTTCTTCTGATCTATAATAGTCTTCCCACGTCTTAGCGATTTCTAAAAAATATTTCGTCGAACTGTTTACATCGAGAAATTAGGGCACTCAGCCTTAACTCAACCCCTCCTCCTTTCATAGTTTTTCAACTATTGCATCTTACCTATTCATCTTCACTGTTCACCCTTATTCTTTCCTGAATTGCTTAGAAAAAACTATGTCATACTTCGTAGAATTCTGAAGACTAGCTGTCAGTAGGGCGAGTGGCTTTCCATTGGGCCATACCATTGACATCGTCATTGATAGGCACCTGAATCCGTGCAATGAATTTGCTAAAGGAGTTTTGTCAGACTGTGAGCATCCACTTTACCCACAGCCTTCACCCAATGCCTCCTCGGGTAAAACAAGAAATCATTCCAAAAGACTCTACGCAGGTACGTCTTAGTATAAAATTCCACTATACCATATGTGGCACGTATTTTATGCGATGAAAATGATGTCACAGACGTACTAACTGTCCTTCCTTGCACTAGTAAATAAACCATTTTCTCCATACTTAATCCACCAAGCTTCACTGTTATTATTCTTCTAATATTTACCGTCCTCTCATTTATTCTGTTTATTTTCTCACAAGGGTGAACACTATTTAAACTCAGTAATAACTGTTATTTATCGTTTTCCCCTGGCCGTGATCAGAGAAGGGCTTTCGCCACTATTTCCTCCGTATTTTCAGTAAGTGGTGCAACTACCGGGAACATCGTGAACCAGTTGATGAGTGAATCCGTTTGAGAAACGCACTGTACCTACTAAGTTCACACGAATATAGCTAAAAGGTGTGTCAGGCTGTGAGGGGTGGCGTAATGTGTCTGCATACTTCCACCTTCCAAGTGGACGCGTTGAAGGTTTGCCCTAATGTATCTTAGCTGTAGTTCACGCTCGAGGGTGTGATGACAAGTGAAATTACCGAACGCGAATTTTCTCATAATTTTAGGGAATGAAGGCCCCTGTTGGATCTGTCGTTGTGATTTTAGTGTCTGCTTTAGGTATATCTTCCTCAGCCCCGGGATATTGTAAGAGCCACGGACTAAGCAAATTTTGGTAAATATTGTATCAACTTGAAGACTAATGTATAGGTCTTCATTGTATGGCACTGTGTCTCTCTCCAGGGAATGTTCGTTAGTTGCAGGCTCTGCACTCACCACAGAGGTGCCAGTCAGAACGGTGTTACTTAGACACCATACATAAGAGAGAAGCCTACTGAATATTCGAGTGCCTAATAGTCCCCTAATGAAGCACGTAATCAAATTCAGCTTTCCATAAATTTCGCTCCTCCGTGGCCAAACATATTGACATAGAGGGAAGAGGGGACCATGTGTCCCTATGATACGGGTCATTTTCAGAACAGCCTTAGATGTGTGAGGTTGCGGTCACAGTTAGGAATTCCGCTAGTATTTTCCGAGACCTCTTGGTTGACATTAGTAGGGAGTTTATAACGAGGACTGCTAGATCTCAGTCAGGGGCAGGGACAATCCATGGCAGTTGTCACTGAAACCTGATGCCGAGTGTAGACTTTTTCTGACTGAACGTCACGAAATGAGTTTTGTTGGTTACCTGCAGATGGCGATGTACTTTTGTTGTCCTTGCTGGGCCTTTACTTTCGGTAAGATAGTGAGTGCAACTCCTGTATAAGCCAAGAAGTCTGTGCCAGAAATTTAACTCATGGCGAAAAAAAAGCCTTTCCGGCACCCCTTCTCCGTAGTCACTACCAAAGAAGGGGTTGATAGTTTCCTTTTTGCTTGTGTGGTAGTTAAGGGAAGGTGTGTGATCATTAGCATTTTGCTGACTTTTCGCCAAACATCCAGCTATACCAAAGGAATTGATCTGCTGATCCAGTTTTTTGGGTCTACTCCTTTCGCTCTATGGGCGATTTACCTCGTCTGACGTGTGTTAACCGTATTTGTGCCAGTTGTTCCGTCATAGCCTTGGCCACTAGTTTTGAGATTATTGTGTGCGCACACTGTTTTTCTGACATGGAGAAGCTTTTTGTCACCTCTCACTTAAGCACTGTCTATGTCTGCTCAACCTCTAAAAATTTAAATCATTCGATCCGGCAATATGGCAAATTTATTGGCATCGATGATGTTTTAATCCACTGTGTATACGCTTTGGATGAGGATGGGACAATTCCTGCGAATTCCAAATCAAGTCTCCGAGAATTATCACTGGTACACAAGCTATTATGGAGAGTGAGAAGAAACTTCGACTACAAGCCGAGGGTATATTTCATGGTAGGGAAAAGTTGTGTTTCAAAGAAGTCAGTTAAAACGAAGCATATGCAAAATGTGCCACTATTACACTCGAAAAAAACGCGCAACATAATTGCTCTGGGTTGTGCCCACTCGCCAGACATGCTAGTGGTCCCAAGTAGAATCAGAGGTCAATCCAATATAAAACCTCACTCGTTTAGTTGTTAGAATGATAATGTCAAGAGGTTGGGCATAAGGCTAGCAACTTCACATAGTGATAAATAAAGACCACCACCAAAGTTCTAAAGCGCAGTTTTGAAGCCCAGTATTCCTTTCGAAACGCAAAGGAGTAGGATAACTATAGAAATGTAACCGGCGCAAGCTCCTTTGCCGTTACTGATAATTCATTATGCTAAGTACTTCGACGGATGTCATGCCATACCGTCTGCTCAAAATTGCCTTGAAGGAACCGTTTAAGGGACCTAATACTACGAAACTTTGTATCCAGCAAAACAACATAATCTTTTGGAGGATGAATGGAGGTCATTCCTCCACATCTGCGGAAAGTCCCTGAATAATGCTAAGAATGATAAGTAGTCTAGGGGATGGCTATCAAGGAAAACACCTTGTCAATTCACATGTTCTCTTTGGATTTTATGAGGGCGTTCCAGAAATATTTAACTAGGGATTTCGTCATCCAGTCAGTGTGACTTTACAAAGGGATGCGTTACGTGGATAGGCGCGCCATTTGACGGATTTCACGTTATGGACCCAAAATTGCTTATTAAGCGAAAGCTACAAGGTTTAGACGGGTAAAAACTTAAATGATTTTATTTCATTAAAATAAGCTACGATATAAAAAACCAAGCGGCACTTGAACAGCATGTTTCATGGCAAGTAAGTAATAATGAATATGATTTCGAAGCAAATCTCGCGCTGTTGCGACTGTAAGTCCTAATGTCTTGTAATTATTTGTCACCCATAGTTACCAGTTTTACCCAGAACACTTTAATGCGGAGTATGCGAAATTAGTGCTACTGAAAGCTATATGTAGTCAAAATCCTACGGATTTTACTCTGTACAAGTACTTGATTCACCTGGAGCATGTAAGTACTTTGATAATTATTATTTCTCTTAGTTAAGTAAGGAACCACTTTCACGCGTCGTAGAACTCGGATTTTTCTTGGAAACTTGTCGCTTCACAGAGTTTTGGGTTTGTTGCCATTAAATTGTCTATTGTTGTGTAGATGAAACTGAAAGAGAATCCTAAGCTGGTCTCTTCTATCCCTGGTTTTCGAGAGTCTGTATACAAATGTGAGTCTTCTAAGGCCTTCTGCCTACATAGCTTATTTTTTTGTTGCTCACAAGTCAGGAATATTTTTCTCAGGTTTATGCATTTCACATTACCAATGTTTCTTAACCTATGAAGTATAAATTATCACAGGTTTGGCAAATATACCGTTTTATATAACTTGCACAGTCTATGTGCTACTCTTTTTGAAATAAAAAAGGGATTTTATGGTAGGAATAATATTTTAGTCTTTGAGGATAGGTGAATTTTTTTCTTTGCAAAACAGCTACTTACCAAAGGAGATATGTATTGGTGCGTTTGTTGTCCACTGTTCTACGTGACTGTTGTAAAATTGGTAAAGCAGAGTAGATGTTGAATTGCTACACGATTTAGCGTACCACATACATCGAGTCAGATAGTCAGGACAACTGTCACGCATGCCAAGCCATCGTGTTCTCTGTAGAACAATGTTATTTGTTATAAGATTGTTTGAAATGACATGGAGGTTGTCAGGTCCTTCACTTCTGGTTAGGTACAGAGGTGCATACTGCGTGTATGGATAATGTTCTTGGGGTTTTAACCACCGATGTTTTGATACTACTGGTGAGATGATATTATTCTAAATGTTACCCAACGAGCACTTGTGTTCTCTAACCTGTGTGAAGTGGTATAATAAGGTGAGCAATATTGAGGCTAGGCGTCGAGTGTTACGTTCACGGTACACGTTTTTCCCTCACACTTCTGTTTACTATCAATCTTTTGATGAATCTCTCTTTACTCTCTTTTCTTGATTTGTGTGGTACATGAACAGAGAGTGGCCAGTTGAACTGGTGCACATCTGAACAAAGTAGTTCTCTATTGAAACCAGTCAGTTAGTTTGCTAGTGATACGTTTATTATGCTTGATGAGAAAGCTGACAAGAATGTAATGTAAGCAGAATTTAGCGATGCACATTCATTGCTCATTTTCATTTGTGAAGAAGAAAATGATAATAGACTACATTTCCGTCGTATCCATTTTTTTTAGATTATAGCTTGAAACCACAGAGTATTTTTGGTACAAGTATGGAATTTTCAGCATATGATATCGGTAGCCCAAATATTGCAGGCCAACCATAGATATCTGGTGTGCGTCGGCAGGGGATCAAACCCCGGACCATGTGCATGGTCGGCGAGAGTCCTAACCGCTGTGCTACCGACGCACAGTTGAGCAGAAGAGATGATGGTTCATTTAGGAGAGATGTCTATAGAAATTCTACGTCAGTACTAGGACAGTATACACATCTCTTCAGTTTCGCACCAACCCGATACTAAATCAATTTGGTCAGGTGATTCCCGAACAGGGCAAGAAGGACCTGTATAGATGACTCCCCAGGAAATCAATTAGAATACATCCAAAATATGCTGGTTCAAATGGGTTATCCTAGGAGATTTGTAAGGCGATATATGAACACCATTTATATTAAACAGAGACTGACAGCAGTTGATAAGAAACAACTGTTCCTGAAATTGAAATCTAATGGGGACATGGCTAGTGAAGTCCTGCATCTAAGATTATCTAGGAGAGTAAAACGAACTTATACTGCGCCACCCTTTGTTTCTTATTTCCCAGCCGACCAGTTATGATTGTTCAAGCAAAAGACATGCTTCTTAGCTATACCACGTGTATTAACAAATTTATCTGCTCCTGTTTAGAGAAAGCGAACAACAAGATAGCGCAACAAACGCATCATTACTGAACATCTTCCTCCATGGTTCGGAAAAGACAAAGTGAAATCTATAGGGAGTTCTATTACGTCCACATTTGATTGATGATAGTAGTCACCAAGTGGCCAAAAGAAGAATCGCCTTCAAACTTATCTATCACATTCCACTGAACCTTTCGAACCTGCCTTTTACACATAGCCAATGCTATAGGAATTAATTCGAGAGAACAATCCTAATCCTTTGATTGGACACTGGTAACTAGTGTGACGTGTCTAGTCCTTTCTTTGGTGCAGACTGAATTCTATCAGTTAGGTTTGCAGTGTGGCCACCATTCTAGGTAGCTCGCCATCACGGTCCACATTGATACGCCTTGCTGACGAATGCCAACTAGCACGAAACTTAAGTCCAAGGCTTCCTGCCGAATGCCTCCAACTATCTAATCCTAATCCTTGCACACAAAAGAAGTTTGTTCTACCTTCAGCTCCTCCTTGACCCAGGTAATTTCTAATAAAACCCTCCCATTCTTACTCTCCCTTTTCCTTGGTGTTTTTATGACATTTATTTAAACTTTTGTTATCTGTCCACTTCACCCCTATCATAACGTAACTTTTAGGATTTGACCTAATTATTTATCTATTGAATTGTCTGCATATACACACATAGTACTGCCTCCATTATTCTCATCGTTATTATTGGTTTTCAAAATATTTAGCACATTATTATTATTATTTGATCCACAAACTCACCGTTATTGGTTTAAACATTATATATATATATATATATATATATATATATATATAAAGCTACGTAAATCAGAGTAAAGCCTCAACAATATTGTTCGCTTATATGTATCTTGTTCTAATACAGTCGAAGCTACCAAATTATTAATAAGTTTAAATTTGTGTAGATTTCTCCCTACTTGTTAGTTAAAGGAACTTGTTTTTATTTGTTATTGAGTAGACGTTAAGATTACGTGGAACTCACTGTAAAAGGGAATGTTGCGAAGTAATGTGTCTGCATCAACTTCAACTTATCTGTAAGAATGAACCGAAGTCAGTAATTATTTATTGATGTAAACTATAAATAATTCCCATGTCCAACCTATTTCGATTTAGGCAACTGGATAGTACCACTAGACCTCTCTGTCTGTCTGTTTTCGACATAGAACTTTGCACCGATGTGCGGCAGTTCGAGTCGCCACACTCCATGTAGCACACAAAGGAAGAGAAGAAAGTAGGAGAAATGCATAATATAGACAGTAAACAGAGGTGAGAGACAAAGGAGTAGTAATAACGAAGAACAAAACAGTTTCATCGGAAATCATAAGTCACAAGGAGTGTATGCATCTGCACCAGCCATTGAGAACGATTTTGAGCCATGTCACCAATTGTTTCCAACCATTGGTTTTTTACCGTCCCGAGGACCCCAACCAGGAAGTCTTCATCTCCCTACGTGACTTAGACTAACTGTTGTGGATTTCATTGACTGGTGCCATGTTTTGGTTTGACCGCCGCTAGCTCTTTTCCAGCCTGGCCCTATATCAGCTGACATTGCCCGTCGAGGAAGGCGATGACTAGGCATACGTAACACATGTCCTAACCATCTCAGTCGATGTAATTTCACAGTTTCGTCTATTGATTTCCCCGCCTTACCTAGCACTCGACGCCTAACCTCAATATTGCTCACCTTATTATACCACTTCACGCGGGAGATGGAACGCAGACACCTATGATCGAAGACAGCTAATCTTTTCATGTCTTCTGCTCTCAATGGCCAGGTCTCACAGCCGTAAAGGAGGACGGAGCGGACTGATGAGCAGTACACACGCCCTTTGGTCGATAGTCGTATATCGCGTCTACGCCAGAGACGGCGTAAACTGGCGTATGCGAACCTAGCCCTTTGCATTCGTGCTGAGATTTCGTCAGAGATCAACCGGTTAGGGCTGATGGTACTTCTCAAGTAATTGAAGCGGTCAACGTGTTCTACCACTTCACTTCCTATTTTTAATCTAGGAGTCGGTGAAGTCCAATCCTGCAGCATCATCTTACATTTTACAGGGGCGAATCGCATGCCAAACATTCTTAGATTGCAGCTCAAGGTGTTCAGTAGACTCTGCATTTTGTCAGAGTCCTCGCCTAGAAGGACTATATCGTCCGCATATTCTAAGTCAACGAGAATCTTCCCTGGTAGCAAGTCAATCCCTGAGTCGCTGAAGTGTGTTAGGGTTAAGTCCATTAGTACGTCTATGATGAAGTTGAATAGAAATAGGGATAATGGGCATCCTTGACGGACGCCACTAGTCATTACCACTTCTAGACCTCTCACATTATGAATCTGACTAGACTGGCTGGTTTCAACGTAGAACTCTGAACCGATGTGCAGCAGTTCCAGTTGAAACTCTCCCTTCATATAGCACACAAATCAGGCGAAAAAAGTAAAAAGAGATTCGAAACAGAGATATGAGGCAAAAAGAGAGCGATTTTGAGCCATATCACCGATTGTCTCCAGCCTTCATGGATTTTTATCGCGTTCCGAGGACCCTAACCACAAAGTCTGCACCTCCCTACGTGTCTGGCTTAAACTAGCTATTGTGGATTTTATTGACTGATGAAGCCATGTTGTTTTTTGGTTTGACCACCACCACCTGAGCGGTCCTATATCAGCTAACATTCACATTCTAAGTAGTACTTCTTTGCTTAGTGATAATAATAATGTCTGAACATTTCTACTGCCCTAAATCATAGAAATTGTGTCAAGGGCGTTTTGTTTATTGACTCATATTTCACTAAATTTATTTGATTACAAAAGAGGACATTTAAAAGTTAAATTGACCTTCTTATAGACTATATACTACTACTGCTACTACTTTTAGTGATGTTTATTTGAAATCTTTTGCTTCTATTTCCAGTTATTGCACATATTATTTCACAAACTTATCAACGTATACCTAAAACAACATTGATGAGTTTATTGGATATATCATCAGAGAATGATTTAAAACATTTTATTAAACAATATGGATGGTCTGAGACAACCACCAGTAATAGTGATTCTGGTGGTGCTACTGGTGCTGATGGTGTCCAACTGATTCTGGTTAACAATCATGAGGAGAATATCAAGTCAATTAAAATACGTGAACGTGTCAACTTTGATTCAATTACATCAATGTCGGGTGCATTTAGACCATCAAAAAGTGACTTTTTCATAAAGACATATAATATGAATAGTTAATTATAAATTAAATAAATAAATAACTAAATGTTTTGTTAATTTCTCTGAATAACAATAATAATATTATTATTAATAGTGGAATACAATCTTCTTTTGACAGTCTTCTGTCTACAAAAAAGATATTATGGGGAGGATGTAAATCACATAGAAAGGTAGGTAGGTCGGTAGGTCGGATGTGCGTATAACATCATCTGCGTCAAATGTACAAATTCATCTCCCCCCAAAAAAGAAAAATGTGCAAAATCATAAACAAAAAAACAAACAACAAAACTGTAGAAAGAAAATCAAACCGCTTTAAGACTATACAAATGTGAAAAGAGATAGATTTGTACAAGGGTGAAAAAAATGCTTGAATAAGAATTTTTTAAAAAAAAGGGAAAAATCACTTCATCTCATTAGGGGGGGGGGGTTGATTTACAACAAACAGTGGGTCATTATTAGGTCTTGTTGTCGTTATTAGGAAATAATGTAAGTAGTAGAGGAAGCCAGTGCAGTAATCTGTTTGAATGATTCTGTGCTGATGATGAGTTATACTCAGCAGTTTCTCTTTTTGTACACTTGGTGGTTGATTGAGGCTTTTTTGGTGTCATTGTGCTTAATTTCTGTTTAATTGCTTGAGTTAATCGTCGAGTAGTTCTCATAGTCCATGACCAAGATGGAATGTGATATGCTGCATTGCTTGTAGCCTATAGGATACAATAAAAAAACAGAACAGCGATAAAAACATTCGATAGTGCATTATAGTACGACAGAATAGATTATAATATATTACACGAATTCCAGCCAACTTCTCGGGTTTCAAAAGACAGAGATATGAATGTATGAGAAGTATTATTTGTTTTATTTTACTCCTTTACGTTCCGAGGGGAACATCGGGCTTCAGGGTAGCGCTTTGAAGTTTCAGTAGCAGTGATTTTATTTCTATGAGATGGGATTGCTAGCCTCGCGCCCAACATTCCCATTTCATCGGGCTTACTACCAGTTTAGAAGTGCGTCGGCCGCCACCACGACCACAGAATCGGGTCACTGTGTTTTAAGTGAACCAGACCAGAAGTAAAACTCAAATTGTCAACGATGATGTGCATGTATGGTGCTGCAAAACTGATCTGGTTCAGATTCTGAACGGATATATATATATATATATATATATATACTCTAAATTATGTATAATTATATCCGCTGTTTTGAAATAAGCTATTACTTGAACTGCACCTAATAAAACGATTATAATATTAAAAAAATGGAACTTATAAACGTTTGTGCAGTTTGTTCAACTTTTACAAATACCGTAATACCAGCGGCGTACACGAAGCCAGGCAAGTGGACAGTTTATCGCCGCTAACACTACTTACTGGCTGTTGGTATATATATATATATATATATATGCCCTGTATTCTGAATAATAGAACATTGTCGTCGCAGTTACGTCTGACATTTATGTCTGTCTGAGTGAATATATCTGCGCGATTATTGAGAACGATGATTTTGAGCCATACAACACATTGTCTCTAGCCTTCATTGGTTCTTATCATCCCGTGGACGCAAAGCAGTCTACACCTCCCTAAGTGACTGGCTTAAACTAACTGTTATGTAATTCACTGACCGATGAAACCATATCTCCGTTTGACCACCCACAATAACTCGTCTCCTACTTCATCAATCCTATGTCAGCTAACATTGACTGTCGGTCGACGAAGGCGATAGATGGCTAGGCAACTAGAGCAACACATGTCCTAACCATCTCACTCAATCCATGTAACTTCACAACCTCGTCGATGATTGACTTTCCATCCCTCCTCACGTAGCACTCGATCGAAGCTTAACCTCAATATTACTCACCCTATTATTGCACCTAACACGGAAGACAGACAGACACAGACTCCTATGATTGAAGGCAGCTTTCCAGCCAGGCATTTCCTGTCTTCCACCTCCAATGGCGACAATGCCTCAGTCACAGCCTGCTATACAGGGGGATGGCGCAAACTGCTACTGAGTAGTGACACATGTTTTGTGCTGAAGTTAGACGACAACCACAGTAAAAATAGCAACACTCCGCCATTGTAACACATTCGATGAAAATAATCATAGTAGTGTGTGGAAGGCAGGCTTCCCCCACAAGTTATATCTGTGATGAATAATTTCTTTTTTATTCCTTTGCGTTCACAGTGGAACCATGGGGCTTCAGACTTTAGCTTTGAAGTTTCAGTAGCAGCCTTTTTTAACGCGGTGAGGTTGCTAGCCTCACACCCAACTTCCCTTCTTTGTTGGAAATGCAATCAGCTAAGGGAGGCGAATGTGTGCGCCGGCCAGGACTCGAGTGTCCCGGACCACGTGCATGGTGATGAGTAATAAGTGATATATTAAAAAGTAAACTCGTGATCAAACTTCACACCATCCCCCCCCCCTCTATGCCCTGAAATGTTTTCGCGCAATGAGATCATCACGATTGTACGTGCAAAATCAATTATGTAGTAGATATAAAAAGAAAGATTGTTGACCTTATGTGAAGATTATGAGAGAGAGAAAAATCGACTCTATGTTATGTTACCTGAGTTTCAGACAACAACTGTGATGATTCTAGTTCAGATGTGACCTGATGTTGTATATGTGTTGGAGTACTTTTCGATGAATTATCATTTGAATCTTTGAAATTGTTGAGATGGTGTGATGTATGACACATGAATCGATAAACTTTTGGTTTGGTTAAATGACCTGCTGCTGTTGTTGATGATGATGATGGTGATGCAGCTAAAACAAGTACACATGGATTGTAATAATGATAATTATGATTGAGGGATTGAAGAAACTGATGATTGTCGAAACATGCTTCCTGTATACGAATGATTTTACACCGACTAGCTGAAAACTGGATACAGAGACGCGGTGGGTGGTAGAGGGAATAAAAACACAAAAGAGCATAGAGAGGAAATTATGCATGACATTCAGTATGTAGAGCGTATGTTTGTATAGTTTTTAATTAACAAACGACTTTTCAGATAAATTTATAGACTTAAATATGGAGGGGAAAAAGACGAGGGAATGATATAAGAATAGAGCTTGGGCACTCTGGTAGTAGAGTATAATTCCATTATGGAGAAATTTATTTTGATAAAGTCTCACAACGTTGTTATACAGTAATATCTACTGATAACCAGGTTTCGAGCACAAATTATTGCTGCTCATCGTTATCATATCAAGGCACTACTCACACAACCTTCCAACTTTGCTTATATAATTCCACTAATTGTAATCTCTTGATTTGATTGGTAGTAGTATTTTGCATATAATAATAATATATAAGGATGGATGGAGGAAATTGTTTATATACTAGATGAAAAAAGGTTAGTTAATTCTTGTCTGACACTATTTTCATCACATAAAATACTTGCCAAGTATGGTATAATAGAATTTTTATACTTAGACGTGCGAGCATACAGTTTTCTGAAGTTACTTCTTGTTCTACCTGAGGAGATGCAAGGTGAAAGCTGAGGGTGAAGTGGATGCTCCAAGTCAGACAAAATCCCTTTAGCAAATTTATTGTACGAAGTCAAGTGTCTATCGACAATGACGTTAACTATGTAGTCCACTGGGACACCACTCATCCTACTGACAGTCTTCAGAATTCTTCCTTTTTAAGCAAACCAGGGGCTGAAGCACTTCAAAAGACTTCTAAATCGTCCGCCAACTACAACGCGTCCAACAATACCAACAACGGAAGCAGAACTACCAATGAACATCGACCCTCCGACGAAATCCGAAGTCCTGAATGCCATCAAGATGCTAAAAGCTGGGAAAGCGCCAGGACCAGATGGAATCCCAGCAGAAGTTTTGAAAATAGACCCAGAGACAACAGCGGTCTTGATGACGCCATTACTAGAGAAGGTGTGGAAAGAGGGCAAAGTACCCGAGGATTGGAAGAACGGATACTTATTCAAACTGCCAAAGAAAGGAGATTTGAGTCAATGTAAAAACTGGCGTGGAATTATGCTTCTGTCCATTCCAAGCAAGATACTATGTCGCATCATCCTGGAGAGAATTAAACAAGCCCTAGATGAAAAACTTCGTCCGGAACAGGCCGGATTCAGGAGGAACAAGTCATGCATTGACCAAATCGCCACCCTACGGATTATCATTGAACAAAGTTTGGAATGGCAGTCACCTCTCTATCTCAACTTCATCGATTTTGAGAAAGCCTTCGACAGCGTCGATCGAGAGGTGATTTGGCAACTACTTCGCTACTACGGGGTGCCGCCGACAATTATACATCTCATCCAACAGCTGTATGACAACGCTGCATGCCAAGTAATCCACAACGGAAGGCTCACGGAATCCTTCGAAGTGAGGACGGGAGTGAGACAAGGCTGTCTACTGTCGCCAATGATCTTCCTGATTGCAGTTGGTTGGATAATGCGGCAGACAACGGCAACCAACGAGGGAACAGGCATAAAATGGACCGACACAAAAGCCTTGGAGGATTTGGATTTCGCCGATGATATATGTCTGATTTCCCACAAACTGGAAGATATGCAAGTGAAAAGCAACAAATTGGCAGAAGAAGCAGCAAAGATAGGACTTCAAGTGAACATAGACAAAACAGAGGTAATGAAGATTCCTGGCCAACATCAACAGCAACAACCGACAACAATCAGCATAAATGGGAGGAACCTGAAGGAAACAACTTCTTTCACCTACCTGGGAAGCATCGTCTCAACTACAGGAGGAACTGACGAGGATATCAAAGCCAGAATCGGAAAAGCAAGACAAGTTTTCATTTCTCTCAAGTCTATGTGGAGGTCAACAGCATTCAGCGTCAAAAATAAGATCCGTATTTTCAACTCCAATGTGAAGTCAGTACTACTATACGGATCAGAGACTTGGCGTGTCACAAAGAGCAGCTCAAACAAGCTACAGACCTTCATTAACAAATGCCTTCGCTCAATACTCAAGATCAAATGGCCGGAGAGGATCAGCAACAAAGATCTCTGGGAGCGAACCAACCAGGAACCGATCGTGAAACAAATAGGCAGGAAGAAATGGAGATGGATTGGACACACTCTGAGGAAACCAGCAAGTGACATCACTAGACAAGCCCTCGAGTGGAACCCGAAAGGGAAGCGACGAGTTGGTCGTCCAAGGGTGACCTGGAGGAGATCATGTGAAGAGGAATTGAAAGCGTGTGGGCAGACTTGGAGCCAGGTGAAAACTACAGCAGAGAACCGAACGCAATGGAGACGCATGGCTGAAGCCCTATGTTCCTCTAGGAATTAAAGGAAATAATAATAATATAATAATAATAAGCAAACCAGGAAAGAATAAGGGTGAACAATAAAGAAGAATAGGTAGGATGCAAGAGTTTATGGACTGTAAGAGGAGGGGGTTGAGTTATACCCGAGTGCCTTAACTTCTTAATGTAAAATGTCTGGTATTAGTGATGATGAGTCATTTTCTATTGCATATCTTGGGTGTGGATTCGATTAACAAAGATTCAGTAATCAATCTCTTCCTCCACCTACCTATATTACTTTGTACAATTGTAAATCTGTCCCACCCTATTCTGTGACTGTGTGTTGTTAATGCATGCAGTGCAATTCCTGAGTGTTTTTTAAAAAATCACTTATCTTCGTAGGGTCAGTCATTGTAGACAGCTAAATTCTGACAATCTGACTACGCCCGACCCACTGGTTTCACCTATGTATTTGACTTAACTGCAAGGTATTTTGTTTTATTATTATTATTCCCTTGGGTTCCGAGTGGAACATAAGGCTTCAACAAAAAATCCCCACTTCGCTCTATTTTCTGCTATCCTCTTCAGCTGGGGTCCACGATTAACCTTAATCTCTCATCTCCTCCTCCTAACAAGATCTCCATGTCGCCCTCGCAACGATGACCTAGTCGTCGCCTCCCACTGCCATTCCACTTAAGCGATGTCCTGCATTGCAAGCGATGTCGTTCAACGGCCTTCACAAAGTATGCCTGATCCATCTGCATTTTCCTCTACATATTTGTTGAGCAATCTGCTCTTGGTTGGTTCGTTGCCAGTTAATTCTGGCTGACCATTTGAGCTCCCGTATGGAGCAAAGGCAACTGTTGATAAAAGTCTATAACTTATTGGAAATTCTTCTCGTGACACGCAGTGCAAGTTTCTGACCTGTATGGAAAAAATGACTTCATATTTGTGTTGAAAATCCGAATCTCGTTCTGAGTCAGTGCAGAATATTTCTAAACTAGTTTCAGGTTGATAAAGGCGTATCTTGCCTTCCTGATTCTGCTTCTAACATCATCTGTTCCCCCTGTGGTTTCCTAGATACAGATAATTTGCAAATTCTATTATTTTAGCTAATTGGGTTAACAGGGTCCCCTTAACCTACAGAGCTTGTCCTTGAGTCGCAAAACAATGGCAAAACAAAAACTTTGTACCAATGTAAGCTGTTTATGATTGGCGACGAAATCTCAGCACGGATCCAAAGAGCTCGAGCTGCTTTCGCTAACTTACACCATCTCTGGCGTAGGCAAGACATCCGACTATCAACCAAGGGACGTGTGTACTGCTCAGCAGTTCACTCAGTCCTTCTCTATGGCTTTGAAACATGGCCAATACGAGTTGAAGACGTGAAAAGGTTGTCTATTTTTGACCACAGATGTTTACGATCTCTTTCTCGCGTTAGGTGGTATAATAAGGTAAGTAATGTTGATGTTAGGCGTAGAGTGTTGGGCAAAGAGGGAAAATCAATCGACGAGGCTATAAAGTTACATATATTGAGATGGCTAGGTCACATGCTGCGGATGCCTAATCATCGCCTCCCCCGACGGGCATTACTAGTTGATATAGGTGCAGGTTGGAAAAGAGTAAGTGGTGGCCAAACAAAAACATGGCCTCATCAATCCATGAAATCCTTGACAGTTAAACTGAGTCAGGTAGGGAGATTCAGACTTCCGGGTTAGGGCCCTCGGGACTCTAAGAATCAATGCCTGGAGACAATAGGTGACATGGCTCAAAATCGGCGTCAATGGCTTACGCCGATGTATTCAGTCTCTGTAATCTTTCATATTCCTTTCTAGCATTACTCATTCTGTTTCACTCTTAAACTTGTCAAAACTCGATTGATTCTCTTCACTCATTTTATTGTCTACCTTTGTGTGCTATTTGGAACGTGGTAACTCGAACTGTTGCACTTCTGTGCCAAGTTCTACGTTGAATCCAGACAGACAAGCTGTTTACGGAGAAGGGTTGATTGTTTGACATAGGGGAAAAAAGGGATACTTTAGACAATGATATGATGTCAGTTACTGCTGAAGTATCCCTGAACACAAACATTTTATACTGGGATAGAGACAAACAGTTTTCACACGTTAGCATAAGTCATCGTTGAAGGGGAAGTTTATGCCACAAATGCTATGAGCACACCTGTTTTCAATCTGGCTCACAAGCACTACTGGTTCACATGTAAGTGGAATCCAAATACTCCTCATATCAATCAGTAAGTAGTATATACATACTCAGAAAAAAACAGTTACACTGATGTTACCGACTGTTATCCAAACAATATATGTAGCTGAATGTGTTTACTGTACTGCACAAAAGTGATTTTTGAATGTATACAGTGAATTTCAACAGAAGGTTGATTGTGCACCCAATCAACTTTTTGGTAGTCTCCTTGAGTGCAGCATTAGGTGATACGGGTTTGAATCTCGAAGAGGAAATCAGTCTTCTGAAGTTCGTAGATAAGCCTTGCTGAGGAGGAGTTCCAATAAGGCACGAAACCTAGATGTCCAGGGATTTCTGATGAATGCCTCCAACAATCAAACTTTAGTTCGAAAAATCTACTATGATGGTGTCCGTTTGGTAGGTTGGTGACTATAATGACTGACAGAATCCAGTGACTACTATGCACAAATTATACCTGAGAAATTGACTGGTTTCAACATAGAACTTTGCAGAGATGTGTGCAGCAATTTGAGTTGATACCAGTAACTAATCAGCATGACTTCAGCACGCACTGAGTCCTGGATCACAGGACAAAACAAACATATTGTATTTCAATGGGAAGCGCTCCACTTCGTTGCTAAAGGAAAATGGTGTGCCTCACAAGGTGTTATACCCTCTCGATTTCCTTTCTTCTAAAGCTAATTTCATTAAGTATGCCGATTATCTGATCATTTCTGTCCCAGTAGTTTCTGCATTGGATTACACTTATATGAATAGATTCTTATCTGAAGTTAACAAATGGTCTCACCACCTAAATGGTCTTAAACTAAATCCATCTAACTAAATGCCATATTGTTGGTTTTAGTTTCAGATGCGAACAAGACTTGTGCGGACTAACTCAGTCGCATGATTTTTTTAAAATATCGACGGTACTGTGATAAGGAGTAAATCGAATATCTCCTATCTTGGAATCAGTTTCTCTTCAAATCTGTCTGTCTGTTTTCGACATAGAACTTTGCACATATGTGCGGAAGTTCAAGTCGCCACACTCCATGCAGCACACAAAGGAAGAGAAGAAAGTAGGAGAAATGCATAATAGAGATAGTAAACAGAGGTGTGAGACAAAGGAATAGTAATAACGAAGAACAAAACAGTTTCATTGGAAATCATATGTCACAAGGAGTGGATGCATCTGCACCAGCCATTGAGAACGATTTTGAGCCATGTCACCAATTGTTTCCAACCATTGGTTTTTATCGTCCCGAGGACCCCAACCAAGAAGCCAGTCTACATCTTCCTACGTGGCTTAGACTAACTGTTGTGGATTTCATTGACTGGTGCCATGTTTTCGTTTGACCGCCGCTAGCTCTTTTCCAGCCTAGCCCTATATCAGCTAACATTACGCGCCGGGGAAGGCGATGACTAGACATACGTAGCACATGTCCTAACCATCTCAGTCGATGTAATTTAACAGCCTCATCGATTGATTTCCCCTCCTTACCTTGTACTCGACCGATACCTAACCTCAATATTGCTCACCTTATTATACCACTTCACACGGGAGATAGAATGCAGACACCTATGATCGAAGACAGCTAGTCTGTTCATGTCTTCCACTCCCAATGGCCAGGTCTCACAGCCATAAAGGAGGACGGAGCGGACTGATTAGCAGTACACACGCTCTTTGGTCGATAGTCGGATATCACGTCTACGCGAAAGACGGCGTAAACTGGCATATGCGAAACTAGCCCTCTGTATTCGTGGTGAGATTTCGTCAGAGATCAACCCGTTGACACTGGCTGATGGTACTTCCCAAGTAAGTGGAGCGGTCAACGTGCTCTACCACTTCACTTTCTATTTCTGATCTAGGAGTCGGTGTAGTCCAGACCTGTAACATCATCTTACATTTTACAGGGGCAAATCGCATGCCAAACATACGAAGATTGTTGCTCAATGTGTTCAGTAGACTCTGCATTTTGTCAGCGTCCTCGCCTAGAACGACTATATCGTCTGCATTTTCTGTGTCAACGAGATTATTCCCCGGTAGCAAGTCAATCCCTGAGTCGCCGAGGTGAGTTAGGGTTAAGTCCATTAGTACGTCTATGATGAAATTGAATAGAAATGAGGATAATGGGCATCCTTGACGGACGCCACTGGTCGTCACCACTTCAGATGACAACTCGCCATAAGCCCTCACCTGGCTGCGTGAGTACGAGTAGAGTGCCTTAATCAGTGCAATGTATTTTCTCGGCATTCCCTTTACAGCCAATCATCGCTAGAGAACCCCTCGGTCGATAGAATCGAATTCCGCCTTTAGGTCAAGAAATATAATGATTGTCGGACGCCGGTAGGAATGCCTATGTTCTAGAATCTGTCGGAAGATGAAGATATGATCAATACACCCTCTTCCTGGCCTAAAGCCTGTCTAGTTTTCTCGTGGATTTCTACGAAAATATTTCATTTGACTTACTACATGTTTTCGTTTGACCACAACTAGCTCCTTTTCAACCGCAGTGATCCTATATCAGCTATTATTGTCCATCGAAGAAGGCGATGGCAAGGCACGCGTAACACATGTTCTAACCATCTCAATCGATGTAGCTTCACAACTTCATCGATTGACTTTCCATCCTTATTTAACACTCAACCAAAGCCTAAGCTCAATATTACACTCACCCTATTTTACATTCTATCAGGGGAGGTAGAAAGCAGGCACATCTACAATTAAAAACTTTTTCAAACTAATCATCGGAACTGGCAGTGGTACTAAAATTGCCGAATTAGATTTATTATATCCCGTCGCCCCACTGGTTGAATAATAGTCAACGGGTTCATCTAGTGTAAAGTGAATGTCCTGGGTTCAATCCTCCATAGGGTCATGCGTAATGACGAAAAGGAGTCTCAAAGTAGGACGAAACTGCTACCTAGTACTCCATAGTTCGCCTAATGGTTCTCTAACTGATATTGGCTTGTGAATTAACTTAAAAATTAGTCGGATGCTCCCTCGTAGTGAGTGACTAGTTACAGGATGAAGTTTCCTCGCGCTCCTTCTAGTGAGAAGTCGCGACCACCAGTGGTGAGGTCCACCACGTCGGGTGTCAAGAATACACTCGACACCACCGATGACATTACTGACTGGTGGCAGTCGTGCTAAAATCCCTGATTTGGGGTAGAAGTTGGAATTCATAGGCCTTTTGGATAGGGGGTCCCAGTAGCTAGCTGAATGAATGGTCTATGAGCTGGCTTGACTTGTAACTGGAAGGTCGTGGGTTCGAACACCGGTAGTTTACAATGGTTTTGATATAACATATATATATATATATATATATATATATATATATATATATGGAGATATCTATGTATATAAACACAAGAAAATCAACAACTTACATGATCAGGTGAATTGAGCAAATTTTTATATGATGGTGTTTTAGGGAAAAATTTATACCGATTAAAAGTAGAAACTGGGGATGATAAAGACCAAGAGAAAATCTGTTTGAATGATGATTGTTGCTGCTGCTGATGTTGGCGTTCGCCTTGTTCACAATGATGCTGATGATGAATTTGTTTTGGATACTTTTTAAACAAAACTAAATAAGCACAACCAGGCGAAGAATTGGACGATAATGATGATGAAACAATAAGCACAGCCCAATAATGTTTATATTTATGTTTATAAAATATTTGTGGAATTATTGATTTTTTATAGTACTTACAATCATCATTATTAGTAGTATTAGTAGTAGCCGTAGTATATGAATATGGGAAATGAGAGGAATCATTTAGATTTGATAAAGACTGTCCAATTCTTTTGTGGTAAAGCATTTGACGATTATCATCCAATGATGCTAGGGAGTTGTCGTCGTTAGAAGAGGCAGAAGCAGAAAGCGAAGAGGAAAGCGAATCATCACAGACGGAAGATGTTGATGACAACATTGATGAAGTGGATTCCATCATTAAAAAAGAAGAAGAAGATATAGAAGATTTTGAATATGGAGTCGGAGGTACACTTAAATTATGCTTAGTAGAAGGAACAGGAGGAGGCAGAAGAGGGGGAGAAGATGAATTCACGTGATTGTCATGAATAATCATCTTTGTAGGCTGATCAGATTTCCTTCTTCTTCTTCTTCCTTGTGATTTACCTATTGGTGAAACATTCAATGTTTCTTTATCACTAATTTTTATACGATGTAATTCAGGCGTTGAAGGATTTAAATTTTGATATAATATTGAAGATTTAAACAAATTATAATGATGCTTTGAAGTAAGAGTTGGAGATGTACTAGGCGGTGCAGCATTATTGTATGATTGAGCTTTTTGAAATGAACTCAACGAAACAGGACAACACAATAAAGGACCCTATTGAAAAAACAAAATTACAAAATGGTAACACTTTGGTTAAGAAAAAATACCTACATGTCAAGAAACTAATTTTATCGACAATAATTTTCCCCAAATCAATAACACTCTGTAGTCAACTGAAATGATCAAATCATCAGGTTTTCCAATGGTTCACTAACTGACGTCAGTTCATGATGAGATCCTGTAACTTATCGAGCAAGGATGATTTCAGTGAAGATTTCGCTACGAGCTACTGCCAATTAGATATTGGATAACTATCTACTGCATGTCAGGGTAATGAAGCAGACACTGCTCACCGATGGTATCGACTAATGGCAACTAAAATTCGTGGAGGGGGGGCGTCAAGTTTTCTTTCCTAAACACTGCTGTAGTAATACTAGAAGGTCCTGTTGGTCTTAACCACTTTAGTATCGACGGCTACGATTGGAAGATCGATGATTTTATCCTATTCAATTAATCAGCGATCAAATGGTAAGTATTTGCAGTGTAGCAGTAGGCTAGTTAAAATGCTGCACAACACGCATTCTGCAAAATGTCCTGTTCCATCCCTCACTCAGAAATCATTTTCACTTAGCATAAGTTATTCACACTTCTGCTGATGCATTTTCCATCATTTTAGCAACCAATAAGAGAAAACTGTTTATATTTGTTACGAAGATTCTCGCTAAGCTTACACGTTAGATCAGGTTTTGGCGAATTCGCCAAAAAGAGACTGTTTGCTGAACTAAGTGTTTTGTTTTCATATATCTACAAAGTGTCTCGTTGTTTAATTTAGCCACTTAGGGAGGGAGCTGGTTGGCTGTGGTCCCTGAAACTCTAAATAACTACTACTAATGGGTGAAGACTGTCTGTGAAACACTGATCAAAATCATTCTCATTGATGTAGATGCTAATTAACTCTTTGTGACCTTCTCATTACTCTTCAAAAGAATATTCTTTCTCATGTACATTTTCGTTTATTGTCATCTTCTTTGCAATTCTTTTTCTTCTCCAACTTAATATATATATATATATGTCAGTGCTACCATACGGATCAGGGACTTGCAATGCGCGTCATAAAGAACATCTCAAACAAACTACAGACCTTCATTAACAGCTGTCTTCGCTCAATACTCAAGATTAGATGGCCAGAAAAGATCAGCAACAGAGATCTCTGGGCGCGAACCAACCAGAAACTGATTGTGAAACAAATAAGCAGGAAGAAATGGAAGTGGATCGGCCATACTCTGAGGAAACCATCAAGTAACATCACTAGACAAGCCATTGGTCGAGTGGAACCCGAAAGGGAGGCGGATAGTTGGTCGTCCAAAGGTGACTTGGGGAAGATCATCTGACGAAGAGCTGAAAACGTGTGGCCAGACTTGGAGCAAGGTGAAGAAAATAGCAGAGAACCGAATGCAATGGAGACGCACGGCTGAAGCCCTATGTTCTTCTAGGAATTAAAGGAAACAATTATATATATATATATATATATATATATATATATATATATATATATATATATATATATATATATATATTAGAGTAAGGCTTCAAGAAGATGTAATTGAAAACAACAATATTTTTCGGTTATATGTCTTTTCTGAACCACAAAAGAAAAGTAAAAAGAAACAAAAACAAAAAAGAAAACGATTCAGACACCTACTTCTCGAATCACCTTCAACCAATTATTATGCATTAATTCCATATTGACTGAATAGATTGAATTCACTAGAGAAGATGATAAACTGTAACGATGAGATTGAGGAGAATTCATCACCATCGGCGTCATCATCATCATTGTCTCTGTTGATACATTTTTATTATATACAGGAGAATATTGATTTCTGTTATCATCATTAATCGCGTTGACTTGAACAGCTGCTAAAGCTGCCAAGGCTAAATGTGATAGCGGATGATGATGATGATGAATAGAATTTGATAGTTGATGTTTCTGTGGGTGTTGAGAGTGGTACAGAGGTGGGGGAGGTGGCGGCGGTGGCATTATTTGTGTCGAAAACTGAAATGCTGCCGGCAATGGTGATGATAAGGGTAAATCAGGTACACATAAAGATGGGCATTTCATTTTTGTAGTAGTAGCAGTGGTAGTTGTTGTTGTGGTAGTAGTAGTAATGGACAATGTCCCTGGAAGGGTTTGTGATGAAAGACAGCGTGAATAAGCATAAAATGGCGATGACGAAGGAGAAGAAGCAGAAGAAGAAGGATGTGCCTTCTTAATTGGTGTACCATGATCTAGCATATCATTTACAAGTGTTTTAGACAATATCGGAGACGCTAAAGGGAATAATAATAATGATGATGATGGCGTTGATGATGTAGGAGATACGGAAGGTTTTAAAGGCGATAAATCTGATCCTTCATTCATGGTTAGAGTTATAGGTGCAGCAGGTGATGATGATTGAGGTAAATTGGATACATTGGATGATAATGACGATGAAGTGGTTTGTATTCTTCCTGTCTGTTGTAATAGTGATGACAGAGGCGATTGATGAGGACAGGGTGGGGGAGGAGAAGAAGACGGTAGGCAATCATGAAATAATCGTCTGGCGACAGAAGGCTTTTTGATACCTGAAAAAGTAATGCAAATAATACAATTGACAGTATGAAGACGAACAATAAATTATAATGTTACAGTGATATTCAAGTGTCGGCTACAGGACTTCATCATGTGTTGACACAGGCTAGAGGACCACTGGACAGATATTTCGTCCTAGTCTGGGACTCTATCCAGGTAGGTAGTTACCTGGGTTCTAGAGGGGAATCATGACCAGTGGGGTCCACCACCAGGTCGGATGTGAGGACAAATATTCGCCATTGGCTGATGACAGTCACGCTATATCGTGAATTGGCAGAAGTTGGAATTTATGGGTTGGCGATATAGTGTCGATTCTCAGTGGCTTATTGGTCTGAGAGCTCGAACCCTGCCAGCACTAGGATGAAAAAGCTGTCCAGTAGTTCCCCGGTGGTTTTCCAATGGTTTTCTAACCGATGTCAGCTCATGATGAAATCCTATACAGTGATAGTTGGAAAACAGGAACAAGTGTGTATAAATACTTAGTTACGTGCAATTGTGCGTCAAAGACAATCATAACGGCTACTAACAACATGAAGACAAGACAAGAACAACAAATGGAAGTGAGCATATCATCTATCATCTTTGGTGCATTATACACACACACACACATATACACACGCACATACAAACATGTTATTCATGTGAAAGCAAATTAGTGAATCAGATTATTATTACATAAAGTTAAAGCGAAAATATCATAGTGCGTTGAAATCAAGAAAGCAAGACCACCGATCCGATTTGTTTGAGCTAACTAACTAAATTATTCACAACAGATCTTCAGAATGAACCAGGCGATACTTGTCTTGTATGACAACTAAAGTCCTGAGGGTTCAAACACGTGGATGAGTCGTCCCAAGCGCTAGCACTCCCAGCAGTCCAGCACAGTTCTCTAACTGATATCAATCCGCGGTCAAACTTGAAACATGTAGAAGAATAAATCGTCAAAGCACACACGCCCATATACTTACGAGTAAGTATAATAATACATTTGTATAAGCATAAGAATGTACGTGAGTGTGTGTGTGTATGTGGATACGTGCATAATATACCAAAAAAAGAAAAGCACAGTGCATAAAAAGAATAGCGCAACAATAGCAACTGTGTGCTGACCATGATTATGATTATCATTATTAGTGGTATTATCGAAACAACACCAGTGCGCATAACAACCACAACAGCAAAATGCAGAGGTTATTGTTGATGTTTTACTCACACTCAATAGTTGTTGACGCTGAGCATATCACTTCTGTGTGTGTATGCAAACACATTTGTACAGAGTGGGAGGAGTATTGTTGTCTATCTACAAAATAACCTCAAATAATACATACATATATAGCTGAATAAATTACTCAATAAAGAAGACAGTGTGTAAGCAGACAAACAATGTCTGTAGACGAATCTCTATGTCCCTCCACAGTGTGTCCCCGCCTACTTACACACACACACACAGGCGAAGATATACGCATACATGCACACGGAAATTAATCCTAAAGTCTTGTAGTCATTTTTTGATTATTATCATTATTACTACTAATATTAGTGGTAGTAGTAGTAGTAGTAGTCGTAGGAGTAGGAGTAGTAGCCACCGTGGTGGTCGAATGTTTTGTAAACTGATTTATATGTCTACTATTAGGTTTACGTGGTGGCACCAGAGGTGGAGTAGGTTTAGCAATTATTTGACAAGAGGATTTAAGCTTACTACTGATAAGAGGAGTAACAGTAGTAGTAGTAGTTGGTGTTGTTATTGTTGTATTGCTGACAGAATTTGATACTTTGGTATTTGAAGATAACGATGATGATAATGATGATGATAATAATATACAATGTGGATGGCTTTTAGTGGAATGATTTGGTGTCACAGGTATTGATTTTCTATTGGATCCATCATCAGCATCAACATCAACAACAACAGGAGGGGGAGGAGGAGGATAAAATGATGAATTTGATAATTGATTATTTTGATGACAGATAGATGAAGATTTCATTGGTGCATTAAAATCATGGAATCCAGAGGTAGATTTCAATGGTGATCTTATTGGAGATGAAGATTTACAACACTGAATATTGATTAAATTTATTGGAATTGATTGATTTCTATAAATACTTTTATTATTGATCATTTTTGATGATTGTTTATTATTATCAATGGATAATTGACGATTGACTAAAGAGGAAGAAGATGATGATGAAGAAGCAGAAGTTTGACGACCAACAGTTAAATCATCAAATTGTGAAGTTGATGTCGATGAGGCAGAATTCAATTGTTGTTCTACAGTGAAATTACCATCATCATCACCGCCACCACCACTACAAGCGGTTAAATGTTGTTGTCTGGTTCCTCCTCTTCCCTTTCCTCCTCCTGCTCTAATATTATTACCAATAACACGTTTATCAAGTAATCGTGGTGAAGATCTATTGGTAATAAGACGAGGAGAAGTGGAATTTGGCGATGCATGTTTCATAGACGATTCACTAAAGTAAAATACAAACAGAAAGTATTGAAAGTAGAAATTGACACAACAATAGTTTATATACATATATAAAAATATATATCAAATGGAAGAAATTTAAAAGAGGTCACTTCCTTCACTTATCTCACCAGACAGAGTCGTTTCTAATAATATTAGATTGTTGGAGGCAATCGGCAGGAAGCTTTGGACCTAGGTTTCGTGCTAGTTGGCACTCGTCAGCAAGGCGTATCTGCAACCTTGAAGGAACTCATGTCCCTTCTGAGATTCGAACCCGCGTCACCCAGTGCTGCAGTCAGAGACGTTACCACTGAGTTATTCGGGCTCGCGATTGACCTCCTGTCGGACTGTAGTGGATATTTTGATTTGACACTAGTAACTAGTGTGATGCGTCTAGTCCTCTCTTTGGTGCAGACTGAATTCTATCAGGTCGTTTCATCAACTACAGGCGACACCACAGATGAGGATGTCAAAACCAGTCAAGATTAGAATGACAAGAAAGACACTTTCATCACTTTGGAAATCTTCTCTACTCCGCTGAAGCATAAACAAAGAAATCCGAACTTTCAATACCACTGTTAAGTCAGTCAGTCAGTTAGTTCTTCTTTGACGGTCAGAAACTTGGCCAGCGCATCACGAAAAGCATTTCAAACGAGACACTGAAGAATTTTATCAACACCTGATACCTTCACTCGGTTTATATTGATTATCCGATGACTGGTCAGTCAGAAAGAATTAGAAACAAGAAACAATGGGAGCAAACTAACCAAGAACCTACTGATCAAAAAATATGTCAAAGAAAATGGACACACGCCCCTAAGGAGACTATCGAGTGACGTCGCACGCCAGGCCCTGGAGTGAGAAACGACGAGTTGGGCGTCGGTGCAAGAATGACATGAAGGAGATCGATCGTGTAGCAAGGAGGAGTCGGAAGATTGTGGGCAATCGTGGGGCCAGCTAGAGAGGGCCGTAGAGAATAGGACAAAGTGGAGACGTGTCCCACGGATGACATTGATTGGTGGTCGCGCTAGAATCACGAAGTGGTAGATGTTAGAATTCGTGGGGCATTGAATCGGGTCCCAGTGGCTGAATGGTATACGAGCTAGCTTGCCTTGTAACCGGAAGGTCCTGGCGGTGGGTGCGTACTGCCAATGATTCCCAAACTAGGATGAAACAGCTGGCTGCCCAGTACTCCCTGGTTTTCAAATGGTTCCCTAACTGATATCAATCCATGATCAACTCGTAAACCTATCTTGACCGATTCTGGATGGAATGGATTAAAGTCTAAGTATTTATTAGAGTGTGTGCGTCAGTTTCCTAAAAATGCTAGTATCTAAGCCACCATCTTGTTTTTATTTTATTTTACAGTAACCAAATCACCCAGTCACCTCGGCTAGCAACCCTACTCTGTAAAAACAACAGCGTTACCATTGTAATTTCAAAGCTTGTTAACTCTTATCTTCCTCTCAAAAAAAGCAACAAACAAGAAAAAAAAATTTAAAGAAAAACTGATTGTCTTTGATTAGACACTTAGTTAGCAATTAATGTAACGTATGTCTAGTAATTTGTTTGGTGCAGACTGAATTCTATCGTCAGTCAAGTTCGCAATATGGGCACCATCATGCTAAGTGGCTCATCACCAATATGCACTTTAAATTGTTGACATCAGATGGTCGGCAGCAATCGACAGGAAGCCCTGTTTGACCTAGGTTTCGTGCTAGTTGGTACTCACTAGTCGGTCAGCAAAGCGTCTATCTGCAATCTTGGGAGAACTCATGTACCTTCTGAGATTTAAACTCGCGTCACCCAGTAACTGCTGCAATCAGAGACTTTATCATTGAGGAGATATTTAGGCTCACGACTAACCTCCTGTAGGACTATATTGTATGCTTTGATACTTTGCAGATACACGCCTTGCTGAAAAGTGCCAGCTAGCAAGGCTCCCTACTGATTGCCTCCAACCATCTGATACAAAGTGAATCCCTTTCTAAACACGGGATGTGAGTAGAGTAAACAAAGAGAAACTTACAGATTATTAGGATATAATTTCATGTGTCTACTTTGAATAGGTGAATGAGACAGAAGTTGACTACCAGAAGTGTCTAACGATCGAACAGACAGAGAAGATTGTTGTGTCCTCTCAGACTGAAATGAAAAGAAAACAAAAAACAAAATGTACATATGAGAAAAATCGCACACAGCACACATTAACACGCAAAAACTACAGACTGAATTAGTAATAAGAATAATAATAATACAACTGAGGAGTTATTTAGTTATACAAGCCTTCTATATCAACCCGGGGGTTATGAATCCTACATCATTAGACGTGTGAACCCTTAAAATAAAATACCGACAGATGATGCCCAGATAGACGTAGGCCGATTTTAACATAAGATAAATGAGTGAGTTATGTAGGTTATATCAGCGGTTTATCAGTAGAATACTCGCCAACCATACACGCACGTGATTTTGGGATTCGATCCCCGATCGGTATGGTAAGTCTGGTAAAGAGACAAAGGTCGGGCTTAAGGCTAGCAAACCTCCCGCCTAACCCGTAAAAATGAATAACATCACTGTCAATGAAACCTCAATGAGACGTGAAGGAATATTAAAAAAGAAAGAAAGGAGATGGCGTAACAACAAGACAACATCAATTCACAAATGTACTGTAACTCTTCGCTGAACGCCTTATAGAACTCAATCCAAATTTACAATGAGTAGACAATTCACAAGTGTTGTGAAGACTATAATCTTGTTTGAGTTTTGAGGGGATAAAATGTATGTGAGTAGTTGTATAGTCTCTATTCAGTCCAGAAAAATTGAACAAATTTGACCAGAAACTCATATCAGATAGAGAACCAGTGAGAATCAACAGGAAGACCTGGACAGTTCGAGACTCTTCATCAGTATGCCGAAATGATTAACAATACTGTGATCCAACCTAGAACTTCCAGGTTACGAGAGCTGAAGTTGTTGACAATTAAGCCAATGGGACTGACTGAATGCAACTACCCATGAATTCTAACTGCTGTCAATTTGCGATACATAGTTATGATGACTGAATGGCAAATCAATGCGCATAGCTTTCCACAGAAGTGTATGAATATACAAAACCGCTAAACTTCAGTGAGAATAGAGAAAAAGAGAGAGGAATATTTCATGAAGGATGTTAACAGTGCTTCGAAAAAACACTGAAGATAAACAAAGAACGACTAGTGACTGGCCCTATTCAGCCAGTTAACCTGGAGTTCTAGTGGGAAGCCGTGACCAGTAGGGTACAGCAGGTTGAAGATGAGGCAGTAACTCATCGAAGCAGAAGACATTGCGAAAAGGTCGCGCTATGTCGTGAATTGGCAGAAGTTAGAATTCAAGGACCAATGGATCGGGTCCCAGTGGATCAATGGTCTACGAGCTCGCCTTGTAACCAGAAAGTCCTGGGTTCGGATCCCGATGGGTGCGTACTGATGAAGGGTCCCAAACTGGGACGAAACAGCTGTCCAGTACTCCCAGGTTTTCCAGTGGTTCTCTAACTAATGTCAGCTCATGATGAAATCCTCCATGCAATAACATAAAATCCCTACAAAACCAATACTTGAAAAAGAACGACTACTTATCATGGTACATTACGAAATACTTTCACTCATTGCATCATCAGCTTCAAGATTACTGATTCCCTGCATACAGTGATTACAAAATGTAAGCAGACATGTGAGATCTATCAACATGATTTTGATCAATAAACATCAGTGATTTCATGGATTCCTATCATATGGTTTGATGCAATCCAAGGAAAGAAATAATTAATTGGTTGGCTATTCAAGGTTACAAAGTCGTTTAAGATATGATTCCACCAAACCACGATAAAAATCCATAAAATCACTGATGATTATTGATCAAAGCCATGTAAGAAGACTTTGTTCGTCTGTTTACTTTTTGTGATCAACTGACACAGCATCAGGTTGAAAAAGAGCTAACGGTGGTCAAACCAAAACATGGCTTTATAAGTCAAAGTAATCTATAACAGTAAGTTTGAGCCAGTCAACCACGTGAGGAGGTGTAGACTGCAAGTTTGGCTGGTTGGAGTTGTCAGGATGGTTATTTTTATTCCTTTACGTTCTAAGTGGAGTTTCGGTGGCAGTGGCGTCCATTTTTTACCGGATGGGGCTACTAGCCTCATGCGCAAACTTCCCTCTTTACCATTCTTCTAACTGGCTTAGTACGGTAAGAGAGTGCGTCAACCAGGGATCTAACCCCGGACCGCATGCATGATTGGTTAGCAATCTGCCGCCGTACCACTGGATTCCCTAACCAGTGACTGAATGACCAAGAGGCTCGCCTGAAGGTTTTGATTTCGATCTCCAATGGTTTCATGTCAGCTTGCTGTTGAAAAGCTCAAAATAAGGACGAAATTGCAACTATCCAGTACTGTCTGGTTTTCAAAGGTTTTCTGAATGAATTCAGATATATGACATACATTTATGAATAAAGGCAATTTATTAGAATTTCTCCTTGTAGCCAAAATTTTACACTGTATAATCTGACAGTTATATCACAGAAGTAAAAAAGTAACAAAACAGTTTATTCCTTGTATGAACTTCATTGTTATTTCGTTTGTTTTGCTTTTACGAAGATAATTTATCTAATAAAATACACCATTCGAGTTTTTGGCAGAGATTCGAATCCCACTCCAAATATTATCGACTAAAGCTTTTGTTGTTTTCGGAGTCATTCACCTGGGAAGAATAGGTTTTTCTCGCACCTCACTTTATCAGTGCTGATGATTCTACTTCTGAGTAGCCACAAAGCTGAAGCAGGTGGATGGTAAGGGTGCGTGGCAGGATTCAAACCCCAAACCTAGGCGTAAGTGATTAGGCAAATTAGAGCTGTGTCTCATATTCTAATACATGACAGATCTGTTATTGGCGTAACTGAATTCACTCAAGTAAACATAATAATATTCAGATAATATTAGTAAGGAGCAGGAAAAAAAGTGAAGCTTCCAAAATGATTTTTTAACCGGTTACCGGGTTTTATCATAAGCTGACATCAGTTACAGAACCACTGGAAAATCTGAGAGTACTGGATAGCTGTTTCATCCTGTTTTCAGACTCTTCATCAGCATGTACCCACCGAGAAGAGACCTAGGTTTCGTGCTTGTCAGCAAGACGTATCTTCAATCTTGAAAGAACGCATGTCTCTTCTGAGATCTGAACTTGTGTCACCCAGTACTTCATAAGAGTCCCGAGCAGTAGGATGAAACAGATGTATCCAGTACTCCCAGGTGATTTTCCAATGGTTCTCTAACCGATGTCAGTTCATGATGAAATCCTGTTGTAGCCAGTCAAATCTCTGAAAGTCAACACTTGAATATTTTAATCGCAGATAACATTTAGAAGCTCAGAAGAATCAGACTACACAGAGTATACGGTGATCTACTCGAAAAAATGACCACTGGAAAACCACAAGAGATGTGTACTGGACAGTTAACTGTTTCTTCCTAGTGCTCGGGACTTCTCAGCGGTACACACACCCCATAGACAGGGTTCAAAACGTCAGGACCTACCGGTTACAAGTCAATCGAGCTTGTAGACCGGCAGGTCATGGGGATGCCACCTTACTCGATAGCCAACCTATGAATTCTAACTTCTAAGAATTCGTGATGTACATTGTAATGTAAAAACTGGTTGGTGGAGAAACAGTCTGATAACATTAAATTTAATTTTTTTTCACTTTTAAGAAATAGAATGACTTACTTCAAGCAGATCTGGTTTCGCAACATCATGAACAAATTCTTCGTTTGTCGGTGTTAAATAATTATCACAGGATAACACTCCAACACCTTAATAAAATAAGTATTGTAGAGAGAGAAGAGAGAAATTTATCAAGTTATTTTGTTAAGTAATAATGATACTTTAGGCTTACATAATAAATAATAGTAGTATAAAGCGGTTGGATTCGTCTGTGTACTTATTACTTTCCATGCACTATGCTGCTGCTATTGCTGTCTAAACGACCTTTCTGAAATGGTAATATACACCTGCAGCAAGGAGAATATTCATCCCAATCAGTGTTGTAGGATTTTCGCGTCGTCGCGACATGTAAGCCCAACACCATAGACGTGTATCACCTTGGTGCCAAGTTCTATGTTGAATCCAGCAGCAGCAGCAGCAACCTTGGGATATTCAATGTGTCAAGACTTATATTACTATCATCCTTCCTTTTACATATGTTATCTGTGAGGTGGAAAATAAGTCTTCATAAAAGGCTGATTTGTGTGTTTCTCCCATCTCTCTGTGACTGAAGGCTTAATAAAGCCACTGGAACTAGGAAAATCACAAATTTTCATATCCCTTAATCTGTTTGTCTTAACTTATTAATAAAAAGTAATGAGAAGATTCTTTTCTTAAAGAATCATAAAAACAACCTTCATATTTTTCTGTATTCATGTTTAGTTTGAAAACAGTTAATTCCTTAATACTCCCTACTTATAACTATTTAGCTTTAGCATATCATTATTAGTATTTTCCACTTGGATTCCCGGTGGTACACATATGGCTTCCACAGTACATCTCTACTTTGACTTATTCTTTGAGGCCCTCTTCAGCTCACTGGCTCCATGTGGTTGCCGATAATTTCGCATCTCCTACTCGCCACACAATCTTCTCCATGTCACCCTCGCACCGATACCCTCATCAAACACTCGTTGTTTCGTATTCGGGTTGGACCCCAGCGATGGCTTGCACTGAGCACGATATCACTCAAAAGTCTGCTCTCAGTGGCATGTGTTCAATTCACTTCCATTTTTTCTTGCATATATTGTTGAGCAATAGGTTCTTCGTTGGTTCATTCACAAAGTTTCTTGTTGCTAAATATTCCTCGCCGGCGGTTTCATCTTCAATATGCAGCCAGTGAAGGTAGTAGCTGTTGATAAGAGTCTGCGCTTAGCTGTTGGAAATGCTTTTAGGTGATGCGCCAAGTTACTATAACTACACTATATTTAGATAAACACTCATTAGTCTTTTGTACCAAAAGTACTGTTTTGGAATGATGATATTATAACTACTATTATTAGTAGTATAACAGTTTTGCATCAATTTTACAAGTCAATTATGTATCGTAAATGTAATGTAAAAGGCATTCATTACACTGAAACCATAAGTGTACAGATGTGTAGTGAATAATACGTGTTAGCCTTTTCCTACAACACTTTTATCTGACAGGAAAGAAGCATTCTATACTGACACTGAAAGGCGTCAACATCTGGAATCCCTAAAATTGAAAAATTGAACATATATTTTTGTAGAGTTACAGGATTTCATCATAAGCTGATAACAGTTAGAGAACCATTGGAAAACTAACTGTTTCGTCCTAGCGCTCGGGTCTCTTCACCGGTAAACACGCACTCCCAGGGCTCGAACCAAGGACCGTCCGGATACAAGGCGAGTTCGGAGACCATTCGCAGACACTAGGAATAGATCGAATGGCAATTCACGAACAACCACTGGTCAATGTCATAGATGAGCAACCGTTCATGAACAAATTATTTTCACATAGCTGTTTTTATTCTACAGTTAACGCCAATAATCTCGTCTAGAAACGCATGTCTATAAGCTCGACGTGTAGATCTTTTAGCTGAAAAAAAAACCCATAACGCTACCAAAATGAAGAATTCATCAATTAAATAAAGACAGCATAACCCATTCATGTCAAAGACAAAAAAGGTTCAATGTTCATTGAAACTTAGTGTCACATTACTACAACGGGAAAAATATGAAGATAGAAGATATACAATCATGTTCAATTAGAGATGACTCTTGGTCCTTAATGTACACAAAAATATCTGGGGATTACGCTCAGTCGAATAGCAGAAGGTTAAGTAAGTTTGTCTTTGCTGACACGTCTCAAAGCATCGATATTCTTAAGGTAAACAGCGCGAATCACAATTATAAAGTTTGTAATCCAGCAGTTAAATAACTGTTTATTATTATTATTATTATTATTATATTCCTTTATGTTCCCAGTGGAACATAGTGATTCGAGCTTGAGTTTCGAAGTTACAGTAGTAGGGGTGTTTAATTTTCACGGGATGGGGTTGTTAACGTTCCCTGCTTGTCGGGCTTGCAACCAACCAAAACACGAGGCGTGAAGATATGTGCCAGTCGGGAATCGAACAATGGACCACGTGTGTGTGGTTGGCAAACATTTTTCTACCGCTAAACCACCGAACCGATGCATTAATTAAGGAGATTGAATACTGTACACCAACTTGGTGATTGGATGAGGTTGAGTAAAAAAGCAGGCAGCATATTAGAAAGGAGATGACTGACCTTGATAAGTTATCGGAGAAGAGAATTAGTAATCATTATACATATATACATTATATTATAATTTACCTGCCCAACTGCCTAATCTTCTATGCGTTGGTCGATTTCGAGGACGTTGTACTGAATTCGGTGCTGACAGTTGAGAAGTTATATTTACACGTGGTGTTGTTGATGGTTCCCGGAGGTGTCTAGCAGTTACTGGAGGTGGTGGAGGCGGCGGTGGAGGAGGAGGAGGAGGTATAGCTGGTGGTGCAGTAAGTAGATCACATAATGGAGATAAAGATTTCTTTATTTTCATACCATCTGCGCTATTTTTGTTTTGTTTACGTGTACCACCACCATTTGGACTAGAGACTTTATTACACGAGACAGGCGTACTTGAAACATTCGAAGTAGACGTTGTTGACGTTACTGTTGTCGAGGTTGTTGTTGTTGTACAATTATAAACCGGTACAGGTTCAAGTATATTATGTGTAGAATTAACGAAGAGATTATTATTCAATGGAATACAATATGATGGATCTGTAGAACAATAGGTATCAGGTGGAGATAATGGTTCCAGTTGAAGTGATAGTTTATAATTTGCATCTTCAATGAAACGTTGAAGCTCTTCAATATATCGTTGAGCTTCTAGATAACTTGCCACTGATTCATTTCGAATAAAAGCTAAATGCGAAGAAAAAGTAAAAATAAAATACAGAGAAGAAATAACTATGGAACATACTTGAAGGCACATACACACACAGGCAACTGATCGAATACCACTCACATCAACCACCAGTAGTGCTTTCTCAATAGCCTGAAGACATTAAAACACCCTGGATCGCTGTTTCTTTCGTTTCGGGGACTAACAGCTAATCAATCAGTTGTGTACCCGGATGGGACTTACCGTAGACAGCCGCATCAGTCCGTTCACAGAGCTCAAATTCTGACTTGCTACTTAACATTTACCGAAGCTAAAGGAAACCGTCGGCACGTAAAAACCAATGGCTGGAAACAATCTGTGATATGGCTCAATATTGTTCTCTGTGGAGCAGATGTATCCATCCCTTGTGACTTATAATTTCCAATAAAACCATATGGTTCTTCGATATTACTATTCTTTTTGTCTCATATCTCTGTTTTACTTTCACTATTTTGCATTTCTTTTTACTTTCTTCCTTTGCTTTGTACGCTAGATAGAGTGAGTGTGGCGACTCGAACTGCTGCACATCGGTGCAAAGTTCTATGTCGAAGTCAGTCAGTCAGTCAGTAAAAGGAAACCGTGGTGAGATTTCATTTCAAACGGTTGTAAACGATCACTAGTGAAAACACTTCAACAATTGTGAAGCATGCCCCAAAACAACTCACCACATGAGTTCACAACAAACTATAAAAACGCTTACAGTGTGTGATAAACACTTATTCCTTTCATTTCACAATCTATTTCAACGTCTGATTATTATTTTTATTACATTACGAAAGAGTTGTAAAGCTCAATGATTTCTATCGATTTCTTACTGATGCTTCGATCAGTGAAAAAGTTGAATTTCAAGAAAATGTAACGATCATAGATATTTCATACAACCGGTCCCCTTTATTACTTTGAATAAAGTAAGACAGAACATATGTGCACACAGAATAATACGAGCTCATTTTATTACTTGGATTCTCTTCAGCTGTCCACATCCTAAGCAAAATCAATTATAAGTTAAAAATGGTGTCTGACCATACTTTTTTTAACAATGACTTCGAGTTATAGATGAAACGTACAAGCAACATATTTGAAAACTTGATGTAAGTTCTCAGTGTTGAAAAAGTTACCATTTATATAATGACTGACTGGTTTCAACACAGAACTACCTTGCACAGATGAGGACCAGTTCATCTGGTTACAATCCCTCCATGTACCACACAAAGCAAGAGAAGAGAGTGAATAGCGATTCAAAAGACAGATAGTAAACAGAAGTGAGTGAGCGCAAAAGAATGGTAGTATTATGCAAGAACAATAAAAATTACAAAGAGTGAATGCATCATTGGCTCCATATTGAATATAAGATGTCTGGCAGGTAGGCCAGACAGAATTAGCAACAACAAACTCTGACTGGCGACGAACTAACCAAGAACCGATTGGTCAAGCATTACGCAGAAGAAAATCGAGGTAGATATGCTGAGGAGGCCGCCGAATGACATCGCACGCAATGCAGGACATAGCTCCAGTGGGACCAGAATGAGAAACGAGTTGGACGTCGGTACGAGAGTGACATGGTAGAGATCATGTGATGAAGAGGAGATGAGAGATTATGGAAAGTCGTGGAGCCAGCCAGCTGAAAAGGACAGCAGAAAATAGAACAGAGTGGAGATGTCTTGTTGAAGTCATACGTTCCACTTATAACCTAAGGAAAGAATGATAATAAGGATAATAGCAGCACACGCATAAAAAGACAACAAAAGAAAATAAATATTGACCACTTACAATAATTTGATTGTTGAAAATTAGCAATAATGCGAAGTATATTATTCATTCGATCTTGTCTGCCTTGACTATCCCATGAACTATTCTCACGATGACTTGATGATGTCGCTACAGACGAAGCAGCTACATCAATAAATGTTAAATCTCCTAGGAAGACACCTATAATAACAGTTTAAAATAAAAAGAATATTTGAAAGTTAATCATATAGACATCGAGAAAAACATGGAGTAAAATAAAAGGTATTTTAGAATAGAAAATTATCCTTCTAACTGAGTATGAGAATGCCTACTTCGTCAGTAATAATCAACTGATCCTTTGAATAAGTAGAGGGAGTCAAACAATGAGACCATAGAGCTGTATATCAATCGAAATGGCGAGGACATGATGTTATCTGCGTGCTAAGCAATCACTTACCTTCACATGCAATACACCTCCTCATAAAACGGCTGACTACTTCTCAGGGACTGGTTTCACAACACAGAACTTTGCATAAAAATGCGACATTTTGAGTTGTAGCACCCGATGGACCACAACACAAAGGAAGACAAAACAAATGGAACAATAAAAAGCGGAAATGTACGGGAGAAAGAAAGAAGGAATAGTAATGTCAAACAACACAATAAAGTTCTAATGGATAAGGCAGAGCACAAAGAGTGAATACTTCTGTGCCAACAATACAGATCAATGATTTTGAGCCATATCGCTAATTGTCTCCAGCCACCATTGGTTCTTACAATCATCCTGAGGACTCCAACCCGCCACCAAGCAATCTACACCTCCATACGTGGCTGGCTGGCTGACTGCCTAAAAAACAAACTGTTATGGATTTCATTGATTGATGAAGATATGTTTCCGTTTGATCACCCACGCTAACTCTTTTCCAATCTCATAGATCCCATGTCAGCTAACATTGACTGTCGGTCGACAGAGGCGATCTATGGCTAGGCATATATGAGTAAAGTAGACTTCGTATTCGTTTATTGCACACAGCTGAGGCGATAGGCATTCGAACTATTAAATCTAAACTATGTATTCAAAAAAAGTTCGTACAGCCATTATCCCTCCCCCTTGGCCTATTAAGACATAACCAACTAATGACTTCTACACCACCCTTTGTTTATATTTTCAACTCCTTTCTTATCATCCCTTAATCTTATCTTCATTATAAACGTGTTTCATTTCCTTCCCTTACAATCTAACATTACTTAATCGGTTCATTTGTTTTTATAAGCCTTTATCGACTACTTCCACCTGAACAGTTGTTTGTTTAATCATGCTGTTTTTCATTATTCGTGTTATCACAGATTGCCTCACTTTTTCATCCTTATTATTGATAAGACCATTTCTATTATTACTATAATTATTATTATCATTACTACTATTATGACTAATTGCACAATTTATATTCACCATCGTATTATCCTATAGACAAAACACCATTATTGGTTTATATTTGAATTTTTATTTGTAAACTTATATATATTAGAGTTAAGCCTGATGAGATCTAATTGAAAACAATATTGTTCGCTTAAATGTGTCGTTCTAAATATATGAGTAATATATGCATCCAAAAAGAATATATCCAACCATTGTCCCTGCCATGGCCATCATAAACAGGTAATTCTTCTAATACTGACTATCCCATTGCCTTTCTTATCCAAACTTCCTGTTTATTCATGTCATTTTTAAGTTTTTCTTAATCCCTATTTACACTACCATATTTTCATATCCGAACATCCTGTCTATTTTTTTATTTTGTCATTTTATTATTTCTACATATTTAATCCCTACCTGCATAAACAATTATTCGTCACATTAGTTATGACCCCACTAGATTTTGTATACAAACATCCTGTCTATTTTTTTATTTCTACATTTCTAACCCCTAATAGCACAGTATGTCAATCTTCTCAGTAATACATGTCGTAACCATCTCAATCAATCCATGTAAGTTCACAACCTCGTCGATTGATTTTCCATCCCTCCTTACCTAGAACTTGACCGAAGCCTAGCCTCATTATTGTACCACTTAACACGGCAGATAGAATGCAGACATATATGATCAGAGACAGCTAGCCAGACAGGCATTTCATATCTTCTTCTGTTAATGGCAACTATGTCATGGCCACAGCCAGGCATAAAGGAGGACGGAGAGACCTGTTGATGTGCAGTACACACGTCTTTTGGTCGACAGCCCACTGGATATCACATCTACGTCAGAAGGGATGGCGTGAGTTGGCAAATTCCAAATTAGCCTTCTGTATCCGCGCTAAGATTTCGTCAGAGATCAATCCTGTGGAGTCAGCTGATGTAACTTCACTAAACAAGTGAAGTCGTCAACAACACGCTCCATATCTTTAAGCTAGGTGAAGTCAATTTGGTCAAGTCATAATATGGCAATAACATAATAACGCGTTTATGAAAACAAATCCAATAGGATACTTTCACATTCAAGAGAGAATTTTTCAACAATACTAACAAGGGAAGCACTGTAATATGCAATAAACATGCATACAGTTACTCGTACACACACAAACAGAAACGCGAAAGAATTGGGTTCAACAGTTAATTCAACTTTCAATTAGTTTCCCGTTACCAGTTCTAAACTGGTGTACAGTGCTTTACATCAGAGTTTTATCCATACTGTGGTTAGTTTAATCCCTCAGTTTTAGGTATAACAGGGTGGGTGAGTGGACTTAAGAGGTTAAAGTCATCAAAACAATTAACTAAAAGATGTTAGTAACAAGATATGTTTTAAATTTTTGAAGCAGGAAAGCATGAAAATGTTTACGGAATTGATGATCAGTTAATAATTCGTAGGGGTGTTAGCGCAGCAAGTTGTTACATAATCAATAAATTTATTAAATAATGATGCCTGAGAAGAATGGCTCAGTAGAATTAAGTAAACTACAAAAATTAACTAGAATTGTAAAATTAACAAAGTGAAGAGACAGTTACAAGGGGATGGGGAAAATCGTTTTTTTATGTAGTCGGTCCTTGGGCAAAGAAAGTGGCTGTACACATTTCCTTTGAACACACAAATTTGGCTTGTTCAGATGTTTTTCGATTACCTCTGTTGTATGGATGTAAAGGCTGTACTCCTACAACATGCGAGAGGTTGCGCGAAGTATGATAAATAACTTTTAAGTCATCTTTTTGTTCTCCAAATGTGAGCCCCCCCCCCTCCGCATAATAACCACCATATAAAAACAACACCAAAACACAGAGAAAAAATCTTATTAAGAATAATAGATTATAGGAAATACTAAAACAGAGATGACAGAGAAAAAAATTTTCTTTACCACAAAGTCATCAATTAGACTGTATATTCGTGTGTTTAAAGAGTAAGTGGGTGAGAAAGTTTCAGAACTATTTCCTATCAAGGGTCAAATTATTAAAATTGGAGTATAATAAACAGGAAGACCGGATAAAAACGCAGTAGTGCAGACAGGAATTTCGAAAAAAAACAACGTGAAAATAATAGAAATAAACAGAAAGATTGGATAAGAAAGGTAATAAGATAATCATTATTGAGGCGGTCGACTTTTTATGACGGCCATAATATAGAAAACGGCTTGATGTAATTCGTACGGATACACAGCATAGGTTTGAACTTTTGGATCGCTAGCGCCTCAGCTATGCCCAGCCAAACTCCTTGATCTCACTATTTTTGAGAGGTTTGATTGGATCTTGTATATGTCTTTTCAAAAGAGGTGAATATCTTAAGTTCACTAGATGTTCTGTTACCGAACTATGTACACACTTACGTTCTCCCTAGCAAGGCTGGATAGTGTTTCGGAGCGCATTTTACAAGCGGACGCTTGGTAGGAGCAATGTATTCAGTTCCACACAATCAAGTGAACTGGTAAATACATGTTGATGTGAAGGCCCAATGTAACAACTTGTCTTTCAAGTGCTAGTTGAATAGTTTCTTGCACAAGAAAATGTCACACGAAGGCTGATGGCGAAGTATGTTCGACGACCTACTTAAAAATTAGGCTACCAAAAACCTGCATCATTTTATTGCATTTAATTTCTCTTATTCAAGTTTGTTTAAATCCAGTAAAATATTAGTTCTAATAGTATTGTTTACTCTGGCAAATATTTAAAACATTTACAACCTGCTGATTCGCAAGTTTCTCCTAAACATGAGAGGAAAAGCTTTATCCTGCATAGAAGTTTATCCCAAAACGTGAGGTGACCGTTCCTGAATGGGGTCCTTGGTTCACAAAATGTACACCTGAACTTTTTTTAGAATTGACATTCAACAAAATGTCGGCATTTATTTCTTGAAGAAGGGAGACAAAGAAGAGATATCATCATAATGGATTTGTTTCCGGTATTTCAGGTCAGATAGATAGAATTGTGTCACACGAACTACTGACAAAATCTCAGCACGGGTATAGAAGGCTCGTTTCGCATATGCCAGTTTACGCCGTCTCTGGCGTAGACGTGATATCCGGCTGTCGACCAAAGGACGTCTGTACTGCTCAGCAGTCCGCTCCGTCCTCTTTCATGACTGTGGAAGACAAGAAAAGCCTGGCTAGCTATGTTTGAGCATAGCTGCCTACGTTCTGTCTCCCATGTGAAGTGGTATAATCGAGTGCGCGATATTGAGGTTGGGCATCGGTGAAGTGCTAGGCAAGGAGTGGAAATCAATCGACGATGTTGTGAAGCTAAATCGATTGAGATGGTAGGGACATGTGTTATGTATGCCTAGTCACCGCCTTCCTCGACCGACGGGCAATGTTAGCTGACGAGATATGGTCAGGTTGGAAAAGAGCCAGTGGTGGTCAAACTAAAACCAACATGGCTTCATCAGTCAATGAAATGTACAACAGTTATTTTAAGCCACGTAGGAAGATGTAGACTTCTGTCTAGTTGGGGTCCTCGGGACGGTAAACACCAATGGCTACTGGAGAAAATTGGTGATATGGCTCAAAATCCTCGTTCCCAATGAATGGCATAGATGCATCCACTCCTTATGAACTTATAATATCCAATAAAACTATATTGTTCTTTCATACTACTATTCTTTTTGCCTCATATCTCTGTTTACTGTCTCTATTTTGCGTTTCTTTTTGCCTTCTTTTTCTTCTCTGGCTTTGTGTGCTACATGGAAGGAATGTGGCGACTCGAACAGTTGCACATCGGTGAA